TGTGTAGAGAAGAAGAGAGAGGAGAGAGAGAGAGAGAGAGAGAGAGAGGTTTGATAACTTTACTGCTTTTCTTTTTCTTTTTCTTGTTTTTGTTATATTGAAACGAAGGTATAAAAATAGAGCTGTAGGTGCTTCTGTGAATTGTATTAGACGTATATAAAATAAACAGTGAGCTCTTCTGATCATGTGATTGGCAGATTTACCTTTTCGTTTTCTCTTTTTGATTGATTGCACATGTTGTTGTTTTTTCTTTTGCCCCATTTTTGTTTCTGCGGGGCTAACCCCGTGATTATTACTCTGCAGCCTTTTGGTTGTTGTTGTTTTTTCACTTCGCCTGTGTGTTCCCCCTTTTTTTTTATTTTTTGTAGGTTTTATGTTGGTTTGCCGAATGCAGGGTCTTTTTTTCTCTGTCTTTGTTCTGTTTTACAGTTTCTCTTCTTTCATAGTGAATATGAGGGCCATCGAAACATAAACCCCGTTAGTTGCGAAGAGGATTGTAGAGGAAGAGAACGTTGACAGCAGTGGAGAAAAAATGGTTGGGCAGGCGCCAATGGTTGACGTACCGCTGTGGCGTGGTCCTGCTTGTATCGTCTCATCTTGCTGGTTAGCGCACGAGCTGCGTTGGGAAGTGGAGTGAGTTTCTTTTTTATTTTTGATACTCTACTTTGGCTCACTGTTGTAAACTGCGAGGGACGATACATCCGTTTGCCATTATCATGGTCATTCTGAGAGGTTTTTTTATCTATTTATATATCTCCTTGCAACGTGGGCACTGGATGCTCGTTTCCTCTCGCCTGTTTGGAGGGGACGCGCACTATACAAGGCGGTATTAACGAAATGCGCATCAACGGTATCACGGCCTTGCGGACCGGACTTTTTTTTTTTTTCTGGCTGGCGCTTCTTCGTGGGAGGCAGCCCTCTTTTTTCTTTTTGATGGGGTTCCTCTTGCTGCAATTGCATGTAATGATGCCTATGTATTAGCTGTGCTACCTCTACGTGGCAATAACACTACGCGGCTGCCTCTACTGTTGCCATGGATCTGATGAAAAATGTCAAGACAACGCAGGTGTTTAATAGAGAACAATATGAAGTTCATCGTTACGCTGCACTTCTACTAACTACGCGTAACACCGGCATTTGTAAGGATTTTCAAAGTATTTAATTCGAGGCAATGACTGGTTTATTTATATCAATCATGTTGACGGATTATGATGTTTGTTGTTGCTTTTGGTTTGCATTTGGGTGAGTGGGGGCGGGTTGATGTGAAACCAGTTGCGTCAGACTTCACGTCGTGAGTTTATGGCTGTTTAGGGTTTGGGTGCCACTCTCTCCAGCATTGTTGTGGTCTTGCTGGAGGCACAGACAACAACGTGTGGAATTATTTAAAACACATATTTTGCTCTACCCATTGATATTGATGCACCTGACATCCAGCTTGAAGGGGTTTATTTTTCCGTCTCTTTAAAAAGGGTTTCATTCCGCTGGGATGATCGTGTGGAGAAGGCGCTGTTGCCTACAACTTATCGCAGTCTTCCGCTCCCCGATGTCTCTATATCTGTTTTTGTTTACACTTTTTTCACTCCTCGACTATTAACTCTGTGGCGTGCATATTCCCCCATATGTCCCTCTTCTCCATCATGGGCTCTTGAGCTGCGTTGAGGGCATCGCCTTCTTGCATATGCCACCGATGTCCACACCTTGCTCGTGTTATGGGGACACACTTCGCTTTGAAAAGAAAAAAAAAAGTGGGGCGGGGAGCAACAGCAACGCAGGTTGATGTGATGCCAGTGTGAGCAGCAACTGTGCCTCTTATATTGCCCTTGCCCCTCGTTGAGGGTGTGAGGCGTTTGAGTGGGCACCGCAGCCTTGAAGGCGGTTTTGCTTCTTTGCTTGTCTACCAAGGTGTACATGGCCCCTATAGACACGGATTATTATTATTATTATTATTTCATTTTATCTTATCTTTGTTTTTTTGCTCTACCTATACCTCACTTGGCCGCCTTCAATTGGACGATGCCACGCGGATGGCTTTCCAGTCGACGAAAAACTTTTTGAGTACGTATGTTTCTTCAGGTGCAGTGCCTGTAGGTTTGTGTTTGTAAGTGTGCTTTTCCGTGTGTCTCGGGTTTCGTCTTTTTCTCTCCTCTTTATGTTGTGGGGTAAATAGCCTTTGAGAAAGTAAAGCAAGAAACAGAGAAAAAAAGAAGAACAATAACTCAGAAAATATTGAGTACAATCACACAGTACAAAGGAATCTCCTCCCACGATAACATTTTGACCAATGAGCGTACCAGTGGAGGTGGTTGATTATGCCGTCAGCAACGATAATGATGAGCAATGTTTTCAGGGACTTTCATGGTCAGCACGGATTCAGGGATATGTACTCTTCACGGCGTTGGGCTTTTTCTCTTCAGTTATGGGTTGGATCGCCTTGGGCATCGGTTACTATTGGAAATACTCCGTTTTATCAACTCTTGGTTCTGTAATGTCCTTAGCAAGCACATTTATTCTTATGGGCCCTCGAGCACAACTTTGTTATATGTTTGATGAGTATCGCCGGATCACTTCCATGCTCTACATTAGTTCCTTGCTCCTCACTTGGATCGTGGCTATAGTGTACAGGTCTGCCTTTTTGTGCAGTCTTTGTGGTTTGCTACAGTACGCATGTTTGATATGGTATTCGCTTTCGTACGTCCCATATGGCCAGGAGGCGGTCTTAAGATTTTTTAGTTGTATCATTTCCCAACACTAAAAAGATGGATGAAATTAACATCATAGACGGCGATACAAACAGGAGGACATCTTTTTTAAATTTGCCAGCATCATGTGTATATTTTCGGACGTGACAGTTGCTGTTGTTTTTGGCGGCCGTCTGACATCGTCACTAACGCGATTCATGTGGCTTTGTTTGACGGCTAGTTTGTGCGACGATTTAATTTGCATGGACTGCGGCTTGTATGCCACTTCGGCGCGCCATGATGGCAGGAGAAGCAGACTAAAATTAAGGGGCGCTGTCCGTCGGGGCGGGGGGAAGCGATGGTTGTTTCTACTTTGACTGATGTGATGCTCACAATTGTAACGTGACGTTTGTGTTTGGTCGGTTGGAGGTCGTTCCATCTGAATTTATTTGACACACTTCTGCTCTGTGAGATGCTTTTATGCGAGTGGTGGGAATCGTCTTGCCAGCACGAAGAGACTTTGTGACCGGAGGTTTTGGTTGAGGCGCAAAACAACATGATCAAGAGGTTGAAAAAAAAATATGAAGACGTTTTTAAATGCTTTGATTTTTATTTTTAGATTTAGTTTTTGTTATTCGTTCTCTACACAAAAAGCGAATGGGAAAACGTTGGATCAAAGCGTAATGCGGCAGCTGTGATCAAATTTTTGTGACGCTCCATCATTGCTTCAGCCTTTGCTTCTCCCACAGCATTTATGCTGCTGTGAAGAAAACTGGAATGTAAAAAAAAAATTCCATTGCCTTCAAATGACGAAGCCAGAGTGAATGAATATTGAGAGCCGATCCCATTGCTGCCTGGAGTATGCGTTTTAGAGGAGCACTTTTCTGAGAGGCGTGAGCGAGCCGAACGAAGACAGTGACAGAGTGTTTCCGAAGAACAATAACGCCAATGAACAAGACTGTGGGTGTGGTGTGAGCGCAGCCTAACGGGGCAGCAGGTGTTGCAGAGGCGGTTGGATGACAGTAAAAAAATAAGGTTGTTTGAAGATAATCCGCAAGGGAGAGAGGGGAGCTGGGGTGGGTGGGGCTGCTGTGCGAGAGGAAAGAAAGGAACAACGAAGCACAGATGCCTGCTGGCGTGTAGGTGTGTATGTCACGGCTGCCATGTCTGTTCAAGGAGAAAAGGGAAAAAGAATGGAGGGAGAGGGGAAGACAAAGGCTGTGCACATTCACTGCTCTCCATGGCGCCATAGAATGCGATTGCCGTCTATGCGGATGCAGCTGCCGCCATGCATGCATCGCGGCGCGATCCAACTCTGCGAAGCAGGTGGAGATGGCCTCTCAC